ACAGGCAACCCCCCAAAGAGTCGCTATAGGCTGGAGATGGAGGCAGGTCGTCAGTGAAGCACAAGGGCAGCAGACCCCTGAGCAGAGAAGGTATCCAACCACAGCACCACATGGTGCTCAACCCAGACATGTTAGCAGCTGCATAAGCCCATAGCAGCAGAGGCCAGGAGCTTTGAGCATGAAGGAAAAATAAACCCCCCCGTACCCCCCCTCAAGAACCCCAAACCAATGGGATTGACATACTACTACATCTAGAAAATCCAAGGAATGGGAGGAGGCATCATGCCATCCCAGGGAGGTCAAGGGAGCAGGACCCACACCAGCCCCCAGTCAGTCCTGAGGACCCCATGTTCTTGTTTCTATAGCTAGCTCTGCTTTTGTTTGTGCTTTGGTTCAAGCCACCAGAGCCTGTTTATGCTCCAGTGAGCTCACAGACCATTGAGTCCTAGCGATGCTTGACGTTAAATATATTTACCTCATTCCTTCGTTAGTAATACGTAAAACATTTATTGCATTATGAAGCAATATTCTTTGAGGAAGAGACAACTGCTTGTTGCCACACACACACACATGTGCCCCAACCTGCACATCTCTCCTCCCGAGGGAAAACAGGAGAGCCGCCAGGAACAAAGTTACACCATCAGTCTGTTTTCTATGTGTTCATGGAAGAGTTTACTGGCTGCAATCCTGATGTTTCTATGAACAGCAGGCAGGCGAGCACAGGTTGAGAAGCATTCCCAAAGGGCTTTAAAATCAGGACTCTGCTGCTGAGGAAAAGATGCTGCTGATTAGAATGAGATCTTTACATAAACAGCCCTTTGTTTAAATGGGAAAAGGCCAGGATGTTGCGAAGATAGACGAGTTGAATTCTGTGCAGTACAAAAATCACCTCCAACATGCACGCAAAACTAACGTCACACAGTTGGACATTTAAAGTACTACAGAATGCAATGAGCAAAAAAACTACAACATTACCAACACATTATGTCTCATGCAAGCAGCCGATGTCACTCCAAAAGCTGCGAGGCACTTAAACTGCATCTTTAATGAAGTTTTCTCCTGGTCTACTGTCTGTAGAAAGACACGTTCATCCATATCGGAAAGAAACTTTGGTTGTAATGATCACTGGGACATGAAGCCAAGGATTGTGGAAACTGGAAAGGATTTTATAAAGGCTTGTTGACATATTATTGAAAAAAAATCCACTTTGGAATCAGCAGACCCACCTTCAATAACAACCTACAGACAAGCACCAGTGTAACACTGCAGTGCCTAATGCTTTAAGTCGTAGTAGAGCAACACAAACAACTCTGAACCATTTTATGGAGGAATCCCAGCATGCCATCAAGAGTCTGATCTCACACTCAAGCCGTCGTGAGGCTGGGGTAAATATTAGAGCAGCACAATTTATGACAATCTGCTCAATATCTCAGTCAATTCTTGTAATATTTAGCGAGACGCATTTTAAATGTCATTTAGGTTCTGTATATTGACAATGACCTGTTTGCTGGACTAACTGCTTTTTATGTATCCACCTGATTTAGTTCCTAAAAAACGGTTGATGCATTAAGAGTGGTGGGGTACTGTGTGATTGGAAAAAAAATAATTGGCAACAAAATGTGGGTTAACTGTCACAGATATCAGTTTCTTAGTTTTCAACAAACAGCATTAGGGATAACGTATTCTAACCATTTAAACATGCTTAGGATGATGGAGTCCTTTCACAGTGATTCCAGGTCGACTGGTTATAATATATTTTATACCAAAGACGAATTGATGAGTTAATCTCGAGTCTACAAATATCGAACCTTAGCAAATGCACATTAGGCGTTTTGAATGGGCGTGCATTACGGTTGCAACATAAATCAGAATTTTGAGAGATTGACCGTCGGCCAACAGTTGCATGAGAAAAACTGACATCAGGAAAAAGGTCTGAAAAAATAAATAAAAACCAGCCGCTGTCCACATAAACTCTGCCATGAGAAAACGCTGACACCTGCACACACACAGTGACACTCCACTGTTATCAACTCAGTGACTTTCCTGCTATATTTAGCAACATTTCAGACAAAAACACGTCGTTATCGGCCAGAATCAGAGGCGGCAAGTCAGGCTTTTTAAAGATCGGTGGTCAGGCAGAAAACTGTAATCTGTGCACATGTATGTTTAGGGGATTCACATGTAATAACACCCCAAAGAGTAATGGCCACAGGCATGTAAAAGTCACCTATGCTGTTTTAAACAGTTTGAAATGAGTACAAAGATGGTTTGGTGCTTAGAGCTTCTGTGGTGTCCTCAAAACGCTGATAAAGCTGCTGGCTCACATTTCCAGTGCTTATGCCAATTATTCTGACTTTTTATTGTAATCTCATACATTTAACAAAACTTTTTTCATCAACATTTGTCTTGAGTTGATGATTGGTTTTGGTGAAGTTTTTTAAAGAGTTTTGTTTCTTCCCAATAGTCCTGGTTTCTGAGGGCTGCTGGACAGTAAGTGTGTTAGGGTGGGACAACATGCTCCAAGAGTGCCTGGACATGTCAGGTTAAAATGCAAGCATTCTGATCAATTCGCAACAACGTGACCTTCAGTCTTTTTCAGACTAATAACTGTTTTCTGTCCAGTTCCTAGCGTTGCTTCTGTTGCTGTCAGGGTGGAGCAAATTACTGGTTGCTCTTGAGTAACCCTTAATGGCAGTGTTTCGCTGGCCATTGTTGCATATCCATCTGCGTTGGATTTCAGCAACAGTTCAACTGGTACTCAAATGAGAAGTGAAAAGGTGTGGACATCTGAGATTCTGCATTTAGGGGCAGGAACTCTTAGAAACTGAGATAAACGTAACATTAAAGGGAATCCACAAGGAGGTTCAGAGCAAAGCAACAGACCGAGACAGTACACATCTTGCAGCTGAGATGGCAGTTTAGTAATTTTGTGGTGAGCGTTGCTGCCTGGGTGTGGTCATTTTTTCTGCTATGAAAGGAGGAAATGAAAGAAGAAAGCAGGCTGCCCTCATCTTCAGATAAAGGGGAGTTTTAGATGACAGCTGGACGTGAGGGTGAGTCAGCAGCAGGAACACTGAGTCCTGCAGGGGAGGATCTTTGGAGCCTGGTACGGCCTGGCTCAACAAATACTGCAGGGTGGCATCAAGATTCAAAGTGATGCACATAAAACAAAACAAACAAACACACAAAAAAACACATATACATATTCTTCCAGCCCCACCAATGTCACATTTCTAGCCTCACACCACAGATTGAGCAAGACCCACAGTAGCACCTCCCACTGGCTCTGATCGCACTTCAGATTTGTGGTTCAAACTAACCGCTCTTCACCTATCGACTCCCCAAGGAAGCTGGAACATGCATGTGGAAACCCTGAAATGAGCCAGACATTCCCTGAGGATGATCAGGACTCAGTCATCCCTGATTCACACAGACCTCTTCCTCCGAGCGTCTGCAGGCTGCCTCTCCGGGCTCCAGGTGGTTCTCCGCTCAAACTGCAATAAAACTTCTCATTTGTGCCATGAAAATGCTGTTACAGGACAGACCAAGTTCATTACAGGCTGTTTGAGAGGGTTGAAACCCAGCTGAGGTGAGATATGATTCAGCCTGTTGCAATAAACAATTATTAGCATAATAAATTAACCCCTTAAGCCTGACCTGCCCATACAGATTTATTTTGTTGCCAAATGTGGCAACAAAAAAAAACTCACCAAGACAACAACAGTGGGATGACCATTAAGTGCAAACATGCAGGCATGAAGTGGTGGGCGGGGCTACAGTCAAACCTCTCTTTTGGCAGAGAAATGAAGGACAGTGGCTGATTTTTAGACCTTTGCTGATCAGAGGATAGGATGTAAATATTAACCAATCGTCAGTCTCCCAAACTTATGGTGTTGAGGGCTGATTTATTGGCTGGCTGATTTATCTGCACACTCCTACAATTGACCCATGAGGACACTGGTGTCAGCATGACAGCCAAGGTTTCTGAGCTCAATAATCTCCATTCTGATTGTTAATATAACAAGAATCAGATAACAATCTTTCCCAGAGACGACATGATCCATTTAATTCATGGTTTTGGTTCTGTAGTTTTTAATCTATCGTTTTTGGTTGCATTTTATTTTGGATAGTTAAAACATCTGCCAGCTCTAAAGTGCTGCATCATTTGCAAATTTATGGGTCATTGACATTTGAGAGGGCAAACTTGCATCATGATACCGTTATCAATATATCACTTGAAAGTGGTCTCAAAACAACAATGTTATCGTTTATCGTGATAATCACTGGGACAATTCATCACCCAGCAAATTTTGTTATGACAGGCCCAGATATGATGCATATCAGAGCAGGAAGCTTAATTCAGAGAAAATCCAGAACATTTCCATTTACAACTCCACCAAAGTGCATGGAGAGAGTAAGGACAGGAGAGGACTCCAGGAAGACTTGAGGCACTTTATAAAAGTTACTTCTCAGCACCTCAAATGTTGCTGGAGTTTTCAATTCACCGAGTGAAAACAACAGCTACAGCAAACCAGGAGAGGAGGCAAGCAGCTGCATGTAGACAAAGCTCATCAAGTCAAGCTTCGCGTCATAAATGTGGATAGACCCAACCCACAGCCAGACATGAGTGCAGACAATAGCCCTGTGTTGTATCTCTGTTTGTCTCTCCTTCCAGGCCACAGCAACATCCAGCTGCACAGCTGACCCAGTTCAGATAAGCTCAGGCAGCAGGAGGAGAGAAAAACTCAGGGCCCCACTCTGAACATTCAGACTGACCCCCTCCTCCTCCAACTCTTCCTCCCTAAACAGCCTCCAATCTGAACAAAGCACAGCAACTTCTGTCGCATTAGGATGTTTAACCCTTTAAAAGGACTGAAAGTGTTGCCGTTCCCAGCTGTGCCAGCGCTCTGCATCGTGCATTACTCTCCAAACAGCCAGTGAAGTTCACACCTTCTTCATTCAGCCGGAGCAGCTGGCTCTTCATTCATGATCACACCCACCTATAGACACCAGCTTGATGTTCTCCCTGTCCAGGAACTCCAGCGCCACCGACACGTTCTCCAGCTGCATCTGGCGGAAGGTGGGCCTCTGGTTGTACTTGCGGAACATTTTCTTCTGGGACAGAACCTCCAGGAGCCCGATGAGCCGCAGCCCGTCGCTCAGGTCCGTCTGCAGGTTGCCGATCCGCTTGTTGACGCATTTCAGGTGCTCGTTGCACCAGCGGGTGAACGTGTTCTGCTGGATCTTCTTCCACGGCGCATCCTCGGCCAGGTCCTTCTCCGTGGCGGGCATTTCTGCGTCCTTGTCCGAGGAGAGAGCGTTGGGAGCGGGCGCGGCGCTCTGATGGAGGCGGGGGTGGGAGCCGCTCATTTTTATGGTCTCCGCTGCGCCTTGGTTCGCTGGCTGGATCTGGGTGGAGTCTGTTCAGCTGCTCCCTCCTTCTCACTTTCTCTGGTTTACTTTGCGGCTGATCTGTGCGAGAGACAAAAAAAAAAAAAACAAAAAAAAAAAAAAACAAGGGGGGAGAGAAAAAAAAATCAGCATTAGAGGCTGATTTATAGCATGGAGATAGACAACTCTCAGAGTGGTTTGGGTGAGGCTGTTCCGACTCCAGTCCTAGAAAACTACCGGCCTGAAACGTTTTCATGCGTCCCTGATTCAGCACAGCTGAATCCAATGTTGCATTAACTCTTCAGCAGGCAGACAGGCGCCTGGTGAACCAGCCGGTTGATTCAGGGCTGCATGTAAATGTTGCAGGACAGTAAGATTCCCGGATGGGAGCTGGACCTGAGGTTTCTCATGTTCACGTCTTTGCTTCTTAAATAAGTTGCACAACAACTGACCAAAGAGGCAATATGTGAAATCTAAGTCATAGGAAAAATGCTCAATCATACAGAAAACAGTGACCTAACCAACATCAGAGTGAATTCATGAGAGGATAAATCGTTTCGTGTTATTAGTACTGAAGGGAAATATCTCAGTTTAATAGTCTGAATATCCTTAGCAGGGCCGGAGCTACAAGAATATGGGCCCCTGGGCTGGAGCCAGTTTTGGTGTCCTATCCATGGAAGGCAAATTCTTTTACAAACACTGGAAAACCACACAATCGAGTTTCTAGCACAAATATCTCAGTACACTTGAAATATAAGAAACTAACTTACAAATCACCTTTCAGACACCTTTAGGTCAAAAACGTTTTAATATTGATGAAAAAACAAGAGTTTTACACTTAACATGGGAAAAAATGTTGCTGTTTTTATAAAGTGGAAAAAAAGCCATCTAGCCTGACATGAATGCCCAGGCTAGTTAGTTAGTTAGTTAGTTAGTTAGTTAGTTAGTTAGTTAGTTAGTTAGTTGGTTAGTTAGTTAGTTAGTAATTGACTGCTTAAAGTTAGCAGTGGAATTCATGCAAGACATCAGGACTCATAGGAACATGTTGGATAGGGATCAAAACACTTGCTCTTGAAAAATATTTTGTCAAAGCAACAACATGTTTGTCCAGCTTTGGCAATGCTATGCTAATTTCAAACTGGCTAAAAAGCTAAGCTTTCTAAGATCGAGGCATCCAATGAGATTAGTTGTAGGTTAGAATAGATTCCAGTACGGCACATTTCATTCTGATTCTAAACTAGAAACCTTCATGAAAGAAACAAACAATTCTGCTGCTATAGAGAAGATGTAGGGTCAGAAACTTGTTTTGTTCTGCTCTCTAATAAATGCAGCTGGGAAACTATCACCTCAATAATTAGTTCATTTGATGCTGCTCTAAACGTGCATGTTTTAAATGTATATTCAGAAATATTATTCTGGATTGAAAAACTTTAATGCTATTAGGTTGTTATTTTTTATGATTTTTAGATGTGCAGATTTCTGTACTTTCATTTCAAGATTTTGACTTTGTTGAATGAGAACATGCAAAATAATTTAAATGAATCTAAAATATGTAAAGTTCTTTTTTTGTTATTAAGGTAAAAAAAAAAGAATATATATATATATATATATATATATATATATATATATATATATATATATATATATATATAAGATCTGTTAAACGATCAAAACGTTTAACATATCTTTTTTCATCAGCCCTGTGATGTCATTTGTTTATGCAGAAGCACAGGCAATTCCCTAGTTGGTTAGATCTGGTGGAATCAGGAAATACACTCACCAATAAACAGCTGGAAGGAGTAATCCCAGAATGATGACTCACTTTGGGTGTAATTTGGTCCATAACGGACCAAAACATCAGTCTTATCATTTAATTTTGAAGTTACTGCCAGAATGAGCGTGATGCAGGAGTGTAAGTTTAAGGAGAACATGAACAAGTTCCAGACGGTTTCCAGAGCATCCGACAGTCACTGGACAGAATGAAGGCCAGCAGACACAGAAAATGCCTCTGTGAATCAGTTGGCAGCTTGATGGAGTTTGATGGTCGTCATGTTGTGTGTGAACAGACATTTAACTGTACTGTACTGTATCCCAGCAGCCTTTTGATTATAGCTCACCATATTCTGACACAGCAGTACCCTCAAATACCTCTTGGTTAACCCTAATCTGTCATCCTGGGTGTTGCACAATATGACTGCTTGTCCTCTCTTGTGTCTGAACCGTCGGATGATTTGGCAACATCCTGTGTTGCTCATCCAACGATACCGCTCCTCTCTCCGATCCCCATTCTGGACATGAGGCTGCTTGAAAATCAAACGGTCTCCTGAGATTGTTTTCCCATTTGGAATAAAGCTGAAAAGTGGACAAATCATGATAAGAGAGTTTTATGAATTTGACTTTTCCAAAACAAAGAACTGTGGCGATCCCTTGCAGATTATGGTGTTTTCATCTCCCCCCCCCATTTATCTGGAAGCTCCACTCAGATCTATCCCAGTATATTGCCTTACTGGGATAGAAGGAAAAAGCACATAAACCAAGATGTTGTAGCAGAAATACCAAAACCAGGCCTTTCCTCATGGTCCCTGTGAGGATATGAGTTCATAAGAGCTCGAGGGTCCAAGGCATAATAAATAGCAGATATCCATGGGGAGTATCAGTTACGTTTGCTGAACACAAGCCAAATGTTGGCTATAAAACGAGTGTGTGTTGTTAAAGAGGCTGCAGTGACGATCAGCCTGTTGCTCAGTCTAGACGCCTGATTTCCTCTCATATCAGTAAATTATGAGGTGATGTCATAATGATACTTCAGACTGTTTTATATAACAGCACTACAATATTATTGTTTATCTTCCCTTTATGCTCAAAGCTATCTAATTAGTTCATTTTTTGTCAGGCGTTAGTAATATTTGAAATGTTGCTCTGTCTATTTTCATGTTGCAGGATGTTGAGTTGGGATCCTGGCTTGATGTTTTCTGCATGTTGTTTACATGCTCTCCCCAAAACACGCTTAAATTCTGCATGCATGACTGCATGCATGTGTCCCTCCGCTGCAACCCGTTGAGGATGTAATCCTGCCTTGTGCCCTATGACCTCCTGGGACTAAACAAAGGATCAGCAGCAGTCACTATTACAGATTATCTGAATGAGCCTCTCACTGAAGACACTTTGTTGTCGTATAAAGCATTTTTATTTCCGTTTTATTGATTGTTTATGGTTGTTGTGTTTTACTTTGGATATTAAAAAAAATATATTTCAGGTCCAGTGTTAAATTTTCTGTACAGAAGTTACAGAACTTGTTTTATCATGCCATTCCACAGCGGTTGAAAATGCTCTCAAAACACCAATATTGTCATTTATCGCAATAATTACTGGGACAATTTATTGTCCAGCATAAAATTTTTATGGTGACATGCAGGCCTGATTGTGTCAACATAACTAGAGCTTTGATGCGTGCAACACAAAGCAGGGAGAGTAAAAATTCAAATAAATGAAGGGCCGAATGGATCCGAGCCAAGAGATCAGCATCCAGGAAAAAAAAGCACTGGAAAACATTTCCCTGATGCACTAAAATTGATTTTGATGCCCATGCAACTAGAAAACATCCCATATGATTTCTTTACGCCCACATAAATAAAACCTCCGTAAACAAAACATCTACACAAAGCAAACTTGCTGAAGGATGAGGCCCAGCTACAGGCGCCAGCTCAGACTGTGATGGTCATCCACCTCATCGTGAGTCAGGGTGGAGCTTTCAAATATTTGCTAGTGTCAGGATGGATTGTGATTAGCTAATAACAAATTTTAAAAAATCCAGTAGTACAGATTAAATACTGATCTGTCATAGAGTGTTTTATTAATAGGAATCTATCATAACAACATCCTAATTACTTTTAGATATTTTCTTTTCTTTAACTGTGGTGGAAGGAGAGATGGAACCACAGCCATTTTTGACTAAATAAGGAGATCTGTGCCAGGAGCCACAGTGTGGCCTGGGGCCATGAAAAATGTTTTGGTCCGTGTGTGTGTGTGTGTGTGCTTGTTTGGTGAAGGAGAATCTGAGGAATGCTCCTCAACCCCATAGCAACCCTGGAGCCCACATCCCAAATAACCCCCCAATAAAATAGTCCTGTTATTGTAACACACAGCGTGGCACCAGCATTCCTCCATATTCACTGCTCCATTTAAAACAATAGAACAATGGCGTTAGCCCGTCTCAGGCAGTCGAGCGCTGCTCCCTGTTGGTGTGTAAATTTGCAATTTTCATCACAAATCACCTTGTCAAAATAATATACAGGCTTTATTAAAATGCACGGTTTATGACGCCAGTGGTCGAACAACAGGCAACGCAAATTAAGCTTCATTAAACTCTTATCCTTTCATTAAACAGGAAAGAACAAATTGAGGCATTAGTCAAAGATGTTTGGATAGTTTCTGGTCTCTGCTCTTGTTGAACTTCCAAGAGCAAATACAATTCATGGCTGCTAGTTAGTGAGAGCTGAGGAAGCTGGTGAACTGCTCTATTGTTTCAGAGGAATCTGGGGAACAAACAGGAGAGAGCAGCGGGCGGAATGAGGAGGTATGACTAAGAACACTTCCCCTGGATGCAGAGGAAGAACTGGAACGATGTCTGGCTCTATCTAGCGGCCAAACATGGTGCTGTGTTTTCTGCTTTGCTCCCAACCCTCCACTACTAACCACATTCATATATATATATATAGCTAAGCCAACATTAACTGCAAGCAAAAAATCATTGTAAATAACAAGCATTCTATCTTCTGATGTAGAAAATAGAATAATAATACAAACAGGAGGTCTGTGGTGAATCAAAAGAACAAATAAAGGATTTTTGCAATAATAAAATGTATTGAATAGTTTGACACACCAAACTCAGAAGTTGTACGTTCTGAGTTGTTTTGTTTGGTAAATATTTGGAACAGTACAAGGAGATGCGCTGCAAAAGATATGAAAATGATCAGTTTTTAAATAGCTATGGTGTTTGTGAATAAACAGGAGATTTACTGTGAAAATACAGACAATTTTAGTTGTGAAGGAACAGAATACATTTTACAGGAAACCTGATTAAATTCATTTTAAAATGGACTTCAATGTTTATACAATTTAAATAAGAAAAATGTCTGCCGGGTCTTTTTTGTTTTATTTTTTTTTTTGCAGATTATTTTCTTACAGTGTAAAGCTTACAAACTCATAACCTTGCGCTATTAAATGATGTTCCTCCATTCTAAAAAAATAAATATAATGAGAAACAAACCAAAAGTCAACATTTTGCTTTGTTTATAAAGCTTTCAAAACATGGTTTGAATGAAAGATAGTCAAAAGTATATCAAAATTTAAATGAATCTTAGTAAAGTAGGATTAACATTACAGAGAAGCAAAGAAACTAAAAGTATGTCCCATTACATCATGGTAAAGTCTTACAGTGTGATTTATTGAAGATCCAACATAGTTTGGAATTCCTCTTTAAACAATTGTGCATTTACTTTGGATCTGGTGTCTAAAGTGTGTAATTATCAGTTATTGATCATTGAGCCATCTACTGTCAAACTTTAAAGCAATTAGAAGAAGAAGAACTAATGTTTGTAACTTGATGTCTCTGGGAAAACATCTGGGATTAACTTCTACAATATATGTTGGATTAGTACAATGCAGTTTTACGGTTGCAAGCTCTGCTGGAGTTTTTTTTCTTTCTTTTTTTTTCCCAAAAACAACCTCAGAAAGAGAAGATAACAGATGAAGAAATCAGGAAGTAGGGCGGCACAGATAACAGTTTTCTGGTCGATTGCCAATCTTTCAAAAGCCCGACCAGCCGATTCCAGTTTTGGCCGATATCAATTTTTTGTCTAAAATGTTGCTAAATATAGCAAGTTGCTCAGTTGGTAACAGAGCGGTGAATATTGTTAACCGAAAACATGCAGACATGTCCTGGTGGACCGGTCTGACGGTCCAACCTGTCTCACAGCAAAGAAGAGGACAGTGGCTGATTTTTAGACCTTTGCTGAATTCGATAAGATCGGTGGATAAGTATCGGCGAATCATGAATCTACAATAAAGCTTTCTATTCTGCACAGACATTAATGACCCACTGTAATAAAACAAAAACACTGGCAGAAGAAATTGAAGAGATTTATCTAAGGATTAGCTAATTCAGAGAATATTGCACTGATGTTTCACCACATACTGTACACATCATGGCCTTCAGTCAAAGATATTAGTATTATCTCCTTGATCAACAAGATTGCAAGACAACTTGGGATGGTGTGCAAATTTAAGAGGGGAGGTGCAAAAAACAAAGTTGAATATAATCAATCAGATGTGAGACAACATGTTAAATATGAACAAACTTGATCTCCAAGCTGCAATGGCAACATCTGAACGGCTAACCACACCCTATCAGTCAGAAACTGAATGCTGCAGATGTCGGAACAGGAAGTTAGGCACAAGATGCGACAACACCGCTAACCACATGACACAAGGCGGTGTGGAGACAGCCAGTCAGAGGCACAGATTAGAGCTAAGTTGGTTTTTCCCTTTACTTTCTGCAAACTTGGTGGCAGTGGCATCAACTGCGTGCCGCCAGACAATGGCGTGTCAGATAAGGACAAGTTTCGTCTGTTTACATCTCACTCATCCTGTGCCAGTCACCGCTTCCTCTAACTTTACCACAGATTTTGTTTCCCTGTATTCACTGTTTATTCTGGCCTCTGCAAAACAAATCCTCCAGGCCAGACACTGGCCTGACACTGACCAGGCTGGAAGTCTGGTTTCGGCCTGGGGGTCTCTGGTCGCCTGCCAGACCTGGGGGCTATGGCAGCAGAGCTAGGTTGGGGGTTCTCTTCCCGTGGCTCTTTGAGCTGGGGGCTGCTTGTTAGCACCTTATGTCTGGCCGTCCCGCGGTTACCAGGGCAACTGCAGGAGACGTAACGACCTGCACTTTGCTGCTCGTGGATGCTGAGTGTCACAAGCTTTCTACCCTCTAACCGTTCTAACAACCTTGCACATGCAGGAGACAAAATTAGTCACAGACAACCGTCCAGCACAAACGCACTTACTTCTGCACAAAGACAATCACAAGTTCCTGTTCCACCATTGTGGCCTGTATGTGTGGAAGCAACCAGCTATTTCTAGTATTCCTGAAATGTCAATTCTTAAAAAAGTAAACAAAGTGAAAACATTTTAGATTTTCAAGTCCAGGCCCGTTTGAGCTCATGGAGGTTTAAATGCAAAATCTCTTCACTAAAAGCTTCAAAAGCACAAACCAATGCACCGGCCTCAAACTGGCAGCTCTCGCTACACCAGCATTAGAGGTTTCAGGATTTATGACGGCGGTTAGCAGACTGGAGAGCAGGTGAGAATCATTCAAAGAGGTTGAGCATCTAAATCAGGAATTTACTCAAAGTGGTTGGACTACAGGTTGTTTTATCACATTTATAGCATTTCGAAAACATTTAAAACAAGCGAGGTTTGTCCGACCTAGCTGCCCTAGCTTTGCATAGCTAGCCTAGCTGCTTTTTAAACTGGTCATTGAACGCACCGAGGGATACAAAAATACAGAACACTATTAGTATTGTACCCATTTCTAGGGGTAATCGTAAGCCGCAAACGTTAAAAGGACATGTAAAGATGGAAAAAGCAAAAAACAAACAAACAAAAAAAAATTCTGTAGTTTGGGGAAGATCAATAAAACATCTGCATAACTATTTCTGTGTGAAGCATTGTGTTCAGACAACTAGAAAAAGTTTATCTATATTAGTTTTGGAATTGCATAGTTTGCCTGAAGGCTTAAAACAAAGCCAAAATATAAAAAATGTAAAGAAAAGTAATAAAATATTTCTTTTGGGGACATATAGCTGATGATGCATAATAGTGAGATTTTTATACTTTTGGTCACGTGAGATTCAAACTTTGGTTAAAATTAATTCAAATTGTTGCTGTAGTACTGAAAGTGAAAATTTGGGATGACATTGTTTGTTTAATCTGAGATATAAATGATTTAGAACATTTACTGAACCCTGAATTGTCTCGCATTTATGTCATATAGCAACAACAAAATTGAAAAAAAAATTATTCATTTTCATTTGAAAAATGGAGAGAACATGACTCACCAAAACCTGCCAGTATAACAATGCTGACAAGACGCAATAAAAAAAAACTATAAAAGAAGCAACCAAGAGGCCAAGAGTGACTTTGGGGGATCTGCAGACATGCATGGCTCATGTGGGAGAATCTGTTGATGGAACAGCTATTAATTATGACTGCAGGGAATTTGATTTATCAACTTGTATTGCATACGTCCATCAATTGCTTCTGCATGTCTAAGCCTTGTTATTCCTATTCAAGGTTTTGTGGGGCTTTTGCCTGTAACTCTAGTAGCCAATGGGAGAGCGGAGGAGTAAACATTGAACAGACAGTGATTTAACTGCAGGCCCAACACAAACACACACAGGATAGACAATCCGTCACACACAGAGACACACACACTCACACCACTTCACCTCACATACATGTTTTGTTGGGTTTTTCTGGAGTAGCTAAAGTGAGATGAACATTTCACACAGAAAGCCTTCAGTCTCGTTTGGACTCTGTTAAACAAGGCACAAAATTGAATGTATAAATTAGCTGGCGTTGGCTGACACTGACCAGAGTGAAGAAATGAAGGAGACAAGTGATTAACAACTTTAAGAGACACATAAACGAGACTGCCTTTAATCGAGTATTTTTAGATTGGACTAGCAATAAGTTAAAGAGCTTAGTTCTCATAAGTAAAAGAACTAAGAATGTTCTTTTTCTTATGTTTGGTAAAAGAACACTATGTGACTCCCTTTAATCAGCTGCCAGATGGACCAAATAATAATAATAATGCATAAAAACATCCTTATTTCGAAGCAGGGACTTTAGAAGGGCTCGGTTCCTGGAGCCTTCACTGTTCCTCCCGAGCAGGCACCAGGTGGCCCTCCTGCTCCGTGTAGGGCCCGCTCCCAGCGGCGGAGGGCGCAAGTGACCAGTACTTGGAACCCCTCCTTTAACGCAGGGCAGGAGTGAGGGACGGTGTTTCCTTATTTGGTGCGGAGCCCCTAATTCTGACTCCGGGGGAAACTGTTGTGCGTGGCGGCGCATGAAAATCCCAACCAGCCAGTGAATAGACAACAATAAATAGTAGGAGAAGGAGCCTGACCTCTCCGGCTGCCCCGTGCATCGGACCAGCAGAACCTCCGGGAGAACTGATCCAGACGCAGCGACACACACACACACACACACACACACACACACACACACACACACACACACACACACACGCGCGCGCGCGCGCGCGTAAACGTCCATCAGAGCAGCCGGGGAGCAGCAGATCCCGGCGCGCGTGAAGGCACCAGACTCACCTGTGGATCGTTCACCTGCGTGTTGATCTGCGTGGGTCTCTCCGCGGTCCGCTCAGTCAGAGCGCGCTGCAGTCAGTGCGGTCACACAGGGTGTGTGTGTGTGTGAGTGTGTGGGGGTCCCGGACCTCCTCCCCACGCGCAGTCCCGGTTGGGGAAATGGTTTGAACTGTTGGTGTAAGGGAAAAGAAAGAGATAGTCCGTCCGCTCTTTTGCTCTTTTCTACCTCCGCCTCTCTTTCTATCTCTCTCCCTCCCTCTCTCTCTCTCTCACTCTCTCTCTGTCTCTCTGGGTTCCACCGTGAGAGCCTTAATTGGTAAACGGGTGAAAGATCAGAGGAGGTGGGGGTGTCTAACTCTCTCTCTCTTTCTCTCTCTTTCACAAGGTGATGTAATGACCGCGCCTCCGGGATTTTCAAGGTATGATGTCATCTACCATCTACCCCATCTTTACTGTACCCCGGGGGGGTGTGCATGAGCAGATCCCCTCATCTCTCTGCAGCCCTGGTCTCTTTCTTGTCATCGGCTGTGGTTCAGACAGAAAGTGGGGAGCCCTGTGTGTGGGTGCGTGTGTGTGCCTGTGTGTGGGTGTGTGTATGTGTGTGTGTCCCTCTGAAAGTCTGTCAGCCTCTGCTGTGACTCAACATGGGCTTGTGTGAAGGAAGGCTGCTCTCCAGCTGAGCATTGGATCAGGGAGAAAGAATGCTCGGCCTCAAGATGCCCCTTTTTTTAGTACAGTTGATCAATCTAGATGGGGGATGGAGGGGCGTGGGTGGCTGAACAAAGCCAAAGAAAGAGAGATCACGACAGGAAGCTCTTAAAACGTCTTTATAAACTGACCTGCCTGCTCTAATCTCAACACAATGACACCAGACCTGTTCTAACCTTTTTGTCATAGCCTTTCCAGGAGCATCTTTGCTTGCTGTCGCGAAGCAGGGATCTAATTCAAGGTGAAAGTAGCACGACTTCAACATATTTTCACCCAACTAACAGTAAAAAAAAAAAAAAAAAATCAGCAGTACAAACATGAGTGTAATTGAAAATGCTGAGATTTTCTCTCTGGCTGTTTTTGTGCATATTTTCTGATAGCATTAGCAGCACTTGGAGGATGTGGAGGAGCTTGATATATATTTTTTTCATTCCACACTGTCACAACATGGTGACCACTTCATACAATTACGAAATAAACAAACAAGCATATTTTTGTAAAAGTTACATACTGCAGCTTTAAGCGAAGAGGACCTAGACAAGCTGGTTCCTAAGAGAAACGACACCGGCTTGACAATCTGAAAGCGTTTTGGATTTCACAGGAGGGATGTGGAACAAAGCGCAGCAACTTGCAAAGCATGCGTCAAACCTTTTGCTGCAAAAGGTAGCAGTACGGCCAATTCATTCAACCACTTGAACAGCAATGAAGGTTGCTGTAAACGTCTCCCCACGCATCAAAGAAAACATGAAATAAACCAGCCGGGTAGCGGATGACACCGGCGTCTTTGTTTGCCAAAGCCGTCTGTCAGTAAAAGGATGAGCTGGAGGGAAATCACAGATGCAACAATAAAACATGTCAGCAAAGACACGCCTCCTGTCAGTGTTGTGGAAATGCCCACATTAAAAGATCTTAATAAGACACTTGATGCAAAATACGATTTGTTTGGTTTCAATTTTCATCATTCAAAAATCGCTGCCAGAGTTGTACAGTTTAGGGGGGGAAATCCAGATCCTACAGGGTTTGACGAAGACTGATGTTAAGTTAATTGTGGCCAACACATTAATGGCATAAAAAAAACACAACTTTTTGACATTGATGGAGTACCGTACAACAACCTGTTGAACAAGGAAATTAGTTGAAACAATACAGAATGGACTGCAAAAAGAAATTTGAGAGGAAAAGAAAAGAAACACTTGTTCATTGTTCTGCATAGGTAACAGATTTACAGCTCAAGTCAGCATTTAAACCTCGACCTCTTTGCACCTGCACACACACTCCGTTAACACTGCAGCTCTTACCAAGTACAGTGAACTGCTGCATCGTCCTGCGTCAGAAAACATTAATCAGACTGACTCAGGCAGCAGCTGACTGATGTCGGCCACAAGATGAGTTATTCCCCTTTGAGACATTCGAGCTGAGACTGTCTGTGTTGTACGAGTCATGTTGGCTTCAGACATGTGTGAATGTGTGATATATCCCATGGAAAATGTGTTATTTCTGGATGGACATCAGGTGTAGGAGGTAGATCTCCGTGGTGGTGCTCCCCAGCTCTTCCGTCTGACTGGATCATTTTCTATTTGGCTGAAAGGAGCTGCTGGATCACTGTCCAAGTCAAATTCATTTATCATATAAACGAAGAATATTTTAAATTGCATTACTTTCACTTTGAAGAGAAGAGGAACAGAAACATAGCCGATGTGTCTTTGCATTTTAGGCATATTCTGGAGAAGATGTTTGCCTGCATGTGCCAAAGCAGATGTACTATATAAAATAGAGATATGAAGATGGAATATCCTAGTGGAATAACTGGCCTTATTAAATCTGCATTCAGAACCAAGCTAGGCATAGGGATGTAATATTAACCTGGGTTTACATGAACTTCATTTGTTGTACATACATGTCAATGTGTATGCGTGTGTGCGTGTGTGTGTGTGTATGTGGGTGTGGGTGTGCGTGCGTGTGTGTGTGTGTGTGTGTGTTAATGGATGATTGTATGCATAGAAATGATTATGTTTACCTTGCATATGAAAAAAGTACATATGTTTTTTTTAATATATATTTGAGAATGAAACGGTCAACTTGAGGCTGTCCAGTGGCTAAGAACCCTGGGATGGGAATTATAACATCATTGTCTGAGGAGGAGGCCATTTGCAGAAAGTTGTGACCGTTTGGAAAAGGACAACAGAGGATTGGAGGCAGGGATTGTAGACCCAGCCACTCCTCCACCTCTCTCCATGCAGGTCAAACCTGGAACCCACCCCTTCAACCTGCTGCCCATGTGAACTTGGTTTCACATGGTTTTAATTGGTTTGATTCATCCTGTGGCTTTTGATCCCTCAGTAGACACAGCTGTTAAGTCACCTGGCCTTGAGCGTCTCAAATCATCACCACTATAAAGCCGAACACGGTGATAACTGGGACCAGGATCAGTGAGTTGGGACGTTTCTGCAACTGAGGACAAGGAAGAACTGAGGGCAGAAAACTCGGGTGAGTTGCACCGAAACTGACACGTCAACCAGAAAACTGTCGGAGCCCAGCAAAACCCAACACAGAGTCCAAATACCAAACCAAAAGGTGACAAAGAAACCAAGAAACAGAACTGAGAACTCAGTCAGTATATTAACCACCAAACCATAACAAGGTTACAAAGTGAAGACTGAAGTCCTAAGGAGGATGACAGAAGTATTTCTATGTGCGCGACTCTATTAGTATAAATGAATCATCTAAATGTTCACAGTCCTCTAGGGTCGCTGTCCTGCAGTTTTTAGATGTGCCACAGGTACAAAACCCTGGAATGAAATGGCTTAATTACCTCCTTCTGGTGTAGATAAGTTCTCCAGAGCTTATCTACACAAGATAAACTCCTTTCTTAGAGTTCAGAATTCTACACAGTCCCCAGAAACAATGTTGCTGACGATATTTTTTTCATTTTCTGTGACTAAAAAGAACAAATCTGTCTCCCGATGCACAAAGGGACATTGCCTCAGGTCCTTCCTCCCAGCAGATTCTGTAACCATCACTGCTCCAACAAACTCAAGAGTTTACAGCCCTCCTGGTTTCTGTTTTTCATTGAATTTTATTTTCAATGAAATTATTTGTTGGTGTTTTTTTTTCTTTCTTTTTTTTTTGATTGCACAAACACACATGCACATTTTGTACAATTTTAAAATGATTCTTCTCAGTTCCTCATTTCTTTGGGATTAGAGTATTTTATTTAATGTGTCTAATTTATGTACTTTTACATAAATTTGCCTTTTCTGTACAGTGTGCCATACTTACCTCTGTTTATTTAGTTATTTTTTTGTGTAACTCTGTATGCTTGGATTTTCTGTCACTTTGCTGCTGCTACACCTGAATTTCCTCACTGAGGGACAAAAGAGGATATTTCTATTTCATTCTATTTCTTCACAGTTTGTCCCATAAAATGATCATGGAGTTCAGGCAGTAAAAAGATCTCCTGACACCTAAAAGCATTGCATCTGACTTAAGGCACTAAATATTACACATATATTTTGAGCAGGGTGGTGGTAATAATAATTTCATGATGATATTTATGCATTCATTTCATGAATAATTGGAGAAATATATGCTATTGAAAAACAAGCATTACAATCTGGAAGGTTGCAAATCTAGCTTGTTGCAGAGAGCTTCAGTCTGGCCAGAAAACTCTGCAGTAGTTTGAGTTTTGCCAAATTAAAACAAACCTTTAATTATGTAAACCTTTCAGCCTCTTTTCTTGGTGCCAACCCTCCTCCTTGGTTCTTGCTTATTTTAAACAAACAGTCACTTTACGACTCATTTGACCAGCGCAGTGGGGACTTGTGGACCAATGAGCTCGGGGACAATTTGCTGTCCAACATCCAGCCCTGTCTGTCTCCTCACACTCCTCGACCGGCCATATTAAGAAAGTCACTCAGGCTGAAGCAGAGCAGCGCTGACACATGGAGAAGGAAAGATTCAGGGAGACTTGGCTCTCTTCCCAGACCTTCAGTTCCTGTTGGCTAATGAGAACAGGAGGCCGAGTGTGTCTGTGTGAATGTTCGTGTAATCGGCTCACCTTGGTGACTGAGTTACAGGACGACCACCGTTCTGTCAGTTTTTGTGCTGAATGTTTGTGCTTTGGGCATCCCACAAGGATGTTAGATGTAGGTGCTGCAGCAACATCCTTCACTCTGCTGACCCTTTTTGACACACACACACACACCTTACAATCGTGCACCCTATATCACCCATGAGCCTGAACCCCCTATGAAGTTTTGTCCACATCCCAGTTTATAAACTTCCCAAATCCACTCCAGCACTGGGACATTTAACAACCTAGTAACACACACGCACACACACGCACACCCACACACGCACACACACATTTAAACACTCTCACGCCCTTCTCCATCTCCAAACACAGCCTTTTAAGGTAAGCTCTCTCTTCCTCTGCCTTCCTGGCTTCTCTTTCTTTGCCTCCTCTCTTCAACATTGTTTCTCTATTTCAGACTGCCTTTGCCTCCCCCCCTTCCCACCCTTCAGACCTCTACTAACACCCCT